AAGAAGAAGAAGAAGAGGAGGAGGAGGAGGAGGAGGAGGAGGAGGAGGAGGAGGAGAAGGAGGAGGAGGAAGAAGAAGAAGAAGAAGAAGAAGAAGAAGAAGAAGAAGAAGAAGAAGAAGAAGAAGAAGAAGACACATGAATGTTTTTCTCTTTTTGTCTAGGCATGAATGGAAATGTTACCTGGCAGGCCAGAACAGCATTGAGCTCCTGCTCCTTCACAATTGCAGCCATCTGCATGTGCAGCACAAGAGTAAAGGTTGTACAACTACTGCTGGATAAGATCATCCAAGCCAGCAAATCATCATCATGGCCACAGCTAAAATGTCTCCAAAATCGGAAGAATCGTTTTAGAAATTACTAAATTAGATTATTAATTAAATACAAGTTATACAACTTCGAATTTTTAAATTTACAAAATGCACATGCACATTTCGCTTCGTTTGATGCTGCTGCTGAACAATAATCACATTCCTTCACTATTTGGGAAAAAAAAAACACCTATTTATAATTTGAACCTAAACTACTTAGCCTAGGGCTCTCTACGGTTTAGGGTTTAGTTAGGGCTTAGTAAACACTGCAGAGAGAAGCCAAACTAGCTGCTGCTCCAGCAGCCCACGCAAATCCGACAGTCGTGTAGCTGAGTGGAACAATCTACCGTCTTCACCCAAATAGAACGCCCGGTCATTATTGCTGTGCTTGGGGCAACTTCCAGTCTAGATGCACCAATGATGGCTGCCCGTTCTTTCATTAGGGTTAAGACGGTAAGGACGACCCCCCCACAGGTAGGTCACAAATACTAAACAGCAGGGGCGAAAGACAGAGTAGCATCCTATTTCAAAAGTACATCACTCAGGCTTAACTTAGGCAGGGGTGAGCGGGGTTACATCCTTCCCTCGGGAAGTAACCAATGTCGTCGTCTTTTGGGCCTTCCTACCGTAAGGGGGAGGAGCGTGTGTGATTACCAAAGGATGGCATTGATTACGTCCCGGTGGAAGGATGTAACCCCGCTCACCCCTGCCTAAGTTAATTCTGATTGTAATTCTATTTGACTTGGCGGTGGAATAGGAACCGCGGACTGATAAATAAAAAAATAAAAATAAAAAAGGAATTGCGGACTGATGCACCACCCAGAATGGAAAAGGAGCCACAACCATAAAGTTCTGCTTTGGTGGTAAGTTACAAGCAACAGAGGGGGTTATAGAGTTGTATGAGCTTAAATCAAATGGTGGAGGCGGGTGTGTGGGATGACGCTCAGACTAGGGCTGCAGCGTGGTGGCAATCCCCCTGAGGAAGGACGACCGCATAGCGGCGGTCCAAACCGGTCGGGGTGCCATGACCCGCCGCTGGCTTGCAATCAATCGCGTACAATCTGTACTTTTCTTGCTTTGGACTTGAGTATATACATGTGTAATCTGTGTGTATGCATGTGTGATCATGTGTCTATTCATGGTATTCTACTAGTGTGTCTCATCACACAAAAATCTGTGAAATCTGCACACTATTCACAACACATCAGCAGTTGTCATGGGATACCATCCTCCAGTTGCGATGTCGTGATGCCTTCTGATGTTGTTATGTTGCTTTGTTTTGCAATGTTTTGTGATGTTCTGCAATGTTTTGCAATGTTTTGTGATGTTTTGTGATGTTTTGTGATGTTGTGATGACACTTCTTTTTCTTTTCTTTTCTTTTCTTTTCTTTTCTTTTCTTTTCTTTTCTTTTTTGTTTGTGACGAGTCTGAATGACACATTTTTAAACTTTCCAAGTCTCAGCTATTTCAAGTCTAGACTCCTCTAGAGAAAAGGGAAGGAAGAAAGGACAGACTGAGTGGCAAGTACCGTCTTAGCATGAGAATGGAAGAGACAAATTCATCCAAGAAAATCATGCCCTTATGCATGCAGATACGCAAAGCAAAGTCCACAAATCAATACAGTAAGTAATATACTCAACGAACGAAGCAAGACAGAGTCCTGCCATTCCGTTCTCAGATTGCAGGTAGAACTTACACCCTCCTTTCAGTTGGTAGGCACATATAAAGAGTAGCTACTAGATACCAAAAGTTCCAAAACAGCATGCATATATGTGGGGGGAAAAACTTAAAAAAAGGTATACCGCTACTTAGTACATGCACCTGTATACCGCTACTTAGTACATGCACCTGCCTGTATACCGCTACTTAGTACATGCACCTGTATACCGCTACTTAGTACATGCACCTGCCTGTGGACTGAATGGAACCCACCAACAATTGTTGTCGTTCTTGTTGTTGTTGTTGTCTTTTCTTTTCCTTTTTTTTCTTTTTTCTTTTTTGTAATTTGGACCATTTTTAATTTATGTGTGTCATCCTTGTGCAGGGGGCATGCTACTCTTCTTTGTATCCTTCCAATTTTAACGGATGTCCCGAAGGACACCCCCCAACAATTGTGGAGCAACACATCGAGAATTCAAACCCTGTTAAATTCCATCATGTCACGGGCTATCCCATCAAAAAAACAAAAGGTGCCCCCCCCCCCC